ACCCTAACTCCAAACTAACCCTTACCCTAAATTTAATTAAAAACAAAAAACACGTGACTGGACACGGCTTTAGACGTCCCCCTTTTTGGGTGCCAATGAATCGATAAAAATCCAATCCGACGGCCCTCCTATTAGTGAACAATTCTAACGCGTATTAAATACAATACTTGAAAGTTTTATATTGTGATAGCATTTAAAATTAGCGGTCATTTCTCACATTTGTAAAAAAGCCGTGCGATGTCATTTGAAAGCTACGACTGGAGTGATACTGCTCCAATTGAACAAGACGATGGGCCTGAGCCACTTGCCCAAATAGCATATGATCCAGAATGTATATCTTTCGTAACGCCTAATTCGTCAACAAAAGATGTAAAAAGAAAACTAATCTTCGTTTATTTAAAATAGATTCAAAGGCTATGGGCTATTTTCGCGCGATTTCCCAAAAGAATGAACATAGCGAAAGAGCTTTAACTCTCACAGAAAAGATAATTGAACATAATCCTGCACATTACACTATTTGGTATGTTTGTTTTCTTTTAAAGTCTTTATAACAGTTAAATTCATAACGTGGTTCGAGTTTTATTATTATAAAAGGCATTACCGCCAGCAAATTTTATTCTCTTTGGATAAAGATTTATATGAAGAATTGGAGTTTATTCAGAAGCAGGTTGAGCAAAATCCAAAGAATTACCAACTTTGGTAAGGGTTAACTAACCTTATCCTCAAAAATGCTCATAAATAATATTAGTAATACATTTTATACGAATTAGGCACCATCGACAGGTAATTGTCGAAAAGCTTAAGGATTGCTCTCTTGAGTTGTCATTCACCGAAGAGGTCTTGAACGACGATTCAAAGAATTATCATGCATGGACTTATAGGTTCATTATAATACATTCCTTTTCTTTTGGTGATTTTATACTTCTTATTTCAAATTTTAACTTGCTAGTTATCTTATAAAGGCAATGGGTCATCAGAACTTTCAATCTTTGGGATAACGAACTATCTTTTGTTGAAGATCTGTTAGAAAAAGATGTACGAAATAATTCTGCATGGAACCAGAGATATTTTGCAATCTTTTATAATCCTACCAAACCTAGTGAAGAATTTTTAAAGAAAGAAGTTGAGTAAGTATAACCATTGATTGGTATATTAGTTTCTGTATATATTGATTATAATAACCTTGTCAACTACTATTTAGATATGGTATATCCAAAATTAAGTTGGCTCCTAATAATATCAGTCCATGGAATTATATTAAAGGGTAAAGGAAAATAACATAATCTGCAACGTATATTTTTTTAATTTTATTATATTAATACTTTTGTAAACTTTGTAGAATTATCGCAAAGTCTAACATAGAAATTACTGTATTGGAAGAGCTTTGTAAAACATATTCCCAGTCAGATACTATATCACCACATGCACTTGGATGTCTTGTCGACATTTATGAAGATCATGTCAAGCGTGGTTTGACAGATAAAAAAGAATTAGGAATTAAGGTATTTCATAAGGAATTTATATATTATGTTAGAGAGATACGCAGAAGCATGTTAATTTTTTCTAATCTTTTCTATTTTTATATCTTCTTATTGTAACATAATGTTAGACTTGTATTCTTTTGGCAGAGAAGCATGACACTATTCGCAAGAAGTATTGGAATTATAGAAAACACGTCCTGGCCTCTATAGCTTAATAAATTGTCCTATCACTAATGTTTTTTATCAAATGAAAGTAGTGCAATGGTTTTTTATCAAATGAAAGTAGTGCAATGGGTCCCGTCTGAAATCATTAATTTTTTTTTTAAAAAAAAAAAGTATATGCCGTGCAACCTTTTTTATTAATAAAAATGCAAAAATTTTATCGTTATTACGTATAATAAAAATTGATCTACGTGTTTATATACGTATCAGCATTATAAATAATTTATTATAAATTTTTACTTGAGACTGTATTAGTGATCCGAACTATTTTTTTTATATATAAAATTTGGGTTAACCCAGTTTTTATAATAAAAAATTAGTCAAGATCGTATCTCTAGACTGTATCGCTTTGGTGATACATCAAATGGGGGGACCCACAGCAAAAGACGGCTTCGGGCTAACCAATCAAAATTTGAGATTTTATATAATAATTATCTATCTAATAATTGTTTATATAAAACAATTTTTTAATCATCAAATATATTAATAAAACAATATGTAAATTTAGTTTCTTTAATACAACGTATTATATAAGTGATAATCATTAGTAACTTAGTGGTGGCCAGGGACCTGCAATAATTTGGATATCAAATTGTAAAAATTTATTTGGGTATCGACCGAAATTTGGATAAATTTGGG